AGGAGGTTACAAGGGGTGATAGGGGGTTACAAAAGATTACAGGGGGTGACAGGGGGTTTCAAGGGTTTACAGGGGGTTACAAGGGGTGAGAGGATGTTACAAGGGGTTACCCTGGGTTACAAGGGGTGACAGAGGGTTATAAGGGGTTACCGCAGGTTACAAGGGGTTACAGAAGGTTACAAGGGGTTATAGGTGGTGACAGGGGGTTACAAGGGGTTACAGAAGGTTATAGGGGGTGACAGGGGGTTACAAGGGTTTACAGAAGGTTACAAGGGGTTAGAGGGGTGAGAGGGGGTGACAAGGGGCTATAGGGCGTTACAAGGGGTTACAAAAGGTTACAAGGGGTTACAGGGGGTAAGAAGGGGTTACAAGGGGTTACAAGAAGTGACAGGGGGTTACAAGGGGTTACAGGGAGGTACAACGGGTTACAGGGGGTGCCAGGGGGTTACAGGGGGTTACACAGGGTGACAGGGAGTAACAAGGGGTTACAGACGGTTACAAGGAGTTACAGGGGGTTACAAGGGGTGACAGAAAGTTACAAGGGGTTACAGGGGGTTACAGGAGGTGACAGACGGTTACAAGGGTTACAGAAGGTTACAAGGGATAACAGGGGGTGACAGGGGATTACAAGGGGTTACAGAAGGTTACAAGGGGTTACAGGGGGTTACAAGGGGTGACAAGGGGTTACACGGGGTGACAGAGGGTTACAAGGGTTACAGGAAGTTACAAGGTGTGACAGGGGGTTACAGGGGGTTACAAGGGGTTCCAGAGGGTGAGAGGGGGTAACAAGGGGTTACAGACGGTTCCAAGAGGTTACAAGGGGTTACAGGAGGTTACAAGGGGTTACAGGGGGTGACAGGGGGTTACAAGGGGTTACAGAAGGTTAAAAGGGGTGACAGGGGTGACAGGGGGTGACAAGGAGTTACAGGGGTTTACAAGGGGTTATAAGGGGTTACAGGGGGTTACAAGGGTTACAGGGGGTTAGAAGGGGTGACAGGGGGTAGAAGGGGTTACAGGGGGTTACAAGGGGTGACAGGGGGTTACAAGCGGTGACATGGGGTTACAACAGATTTCAGGAACTTTTTTCTAACTAGAAAGTACCCAGATACTTTTTTTTGGTCTATTTTGCATAAAAATCAAAGTTCAAGAAATCTCCAATTTTTGACCAAAACAACGGCTAACAAGTTTTCAAAAGTTCTAATTTTGCGTTTTTAATAAACAGATATTCTTGTAGTCTTTCAAAGCTTCTTTTTTATCTACAACAGGGCTCGAAATTAAAAAAATCTTTAGGTCGCCCTATGGCGACCAACTGGAGAAATATAGTCACCAGATGCAAATTTTTAGTCGCCAGTTTGTATAATGTAAATGACGCAGCTCAGGGCTTGTGATATTTCGTGCAGTCGCGAAGCTGAGAAATTCACGTAAATCCATGAAATTCAAAAAAGCATGCAAAATACCTTGAAATTCTGTAGAAATCTTATCAAATACATGTCTGTACAACATATTTGAAACTTATCCTAGCAAATTTATCTTTAAACTTCGTCACTGAAACGTGCAAACAAGGTCCTGAAACTACCAGGCAAAATTATGTTGGGAAAAACTGGGCAGTAGCCATGATGTTAAAGGCTTTGGCATTGGTTCATTTCTGGGGCGTATTGTTGTTGAAAGAGCAAATGATGACCTCTGTTAGAAAAACGTGTAAAATGCTGGTCTGATCAGTGCAAAACCGATCGATTTCTACCAAATTTTCCCTGAAAATAACCACAAAATCGGCCGTTTTTTTACCGGGTGCACATGCTTTTCAGCGAAGTTTGCCCCGAAAATTCCCTTGAAATTGGCCAGTTTTTTTCGCGAATTTGTCCCTAAAAATCCTGCGAAATTTGACTTTTTTCTGTGACCTGTCAGAAGCCCTAAATAGTATGGATAGAAGTCGGTATACTTTTCGAGGTCAACTGGCTTTGTTTATGCGATTTGGTATATTTTCTATGATGAAAGCAAAGCAAGATAATATGAAATGTTTGTTTTAACTTTACTCTTTAATTCAAATCTAAAGCGTAGAGAAATCTAGTAGCCACTTTGGCGACTAAACCAGAATTTTTAGTTGCCAAGGAGAAGATGTTAGTGGCATTGGCGACCGTAGTAGTCATAATTTCGAACCCTGTCAAGTGAAGTAAACAATGTTATCTATGCCTTTCCTGTTGTTCTCAGCCTGCAGGTGCTGCTCTACACTAATACTAAAACCCTACATCTTCAAGTTTACATTGTACCTTTTATGGTTATTTATCCAGTTACTATACAAACCTGCATACGGAAAAGACTTGACTTAAAAAGGTTCTCTGTTTCTTTAAGAGCATTCATCTCTTCACTAGTGGGAGGTCGGTACAAACTGTCCTTGTAGCTTGTGGTTTTTCCTTGACTATCTTCCAAATTATCAACAGAAGATTTCTAGAACAACACAGGAATCAAGTGAATGATGATTATTTTAAAAAATCAAGATATTCAGCACTTGTGGTAATTACCAGTTTAAAAACAGACCGTAAATGTTAAGATTTCGTCAAAAATTAAGTTGTTAAGGTGGCATGCGTAACACTTAAAGCAGTTAACAGAGAAAAAAAAAGAGACACAAGGGCATCAGACTTCATGACTGTCTTGCAACTTCATGCACTCCTGTAACACACTAGTGATAGGCACAATGTTTCCTCACGGCAGATGCATACAAAAGGGTTGTTTTTACTTGTGACAGAATCCAGGTCATGATAAGAAGGGTAGAACAGTGTTATACAGTCAACTCCCGGTAACTCGAACCCTCTATAACTCGAACCTCCCACTAACTTGAAGCAATTTTCATTTCCCTTCAGATCGTTTTCAACATAATTTTACCCTCAATAACTCGAACTTTTTTCTATTTCCCTTGAAGATTTGAATTATTGGGAGTCGACTGTATAATAATTTATACAAAAATTAAACCAACAGGGTTGACATGATTTAGCAAAGTTTGCTGTTTTGCTTCAGTCTAAGTTGTTTGTCCTCGCCATGAATTTTTTCAGATTTGTAAGGAGAAGCAAAAGGGAACAACCCATTTTTTTCTCTGCACCCACCCCCTAAAGATGATTGGAACCTGGAACCTGAAAATTGTTGTCAGGCGCCCTTTTAAAAAATGAAACCAGAAGGGCCATTTCTTTGTCAGCATCTTCGAAAAATTTGTTCAAAGGGTCTAAATTTTGTCCGCTTTTTTGAAGAAAAATCCAAGTCCCACTATTTGAAAATCCACCAACCTTGGGAGGTGGTGGGGAGGGGTGCAGATAAATAATGGAACACTCCCTTAGATATCAAAAGTGTGGGAATGAGCAATTTAATTCTGAAAGTCTTTTTGAAAGTCTGTTTTTCAGTAGATTGCAACCGACAATCATAATTGTGACAAACGACTGTCATAATTATGCAGAGTCGGTTGCATTAAGGAAAGTCAGCTCAGGAAACATGCAAATGTTTTGATTCTTATAAATCTGATTAGTGTGCGAACAACTTCACTTTTGGTTTTCGCTTAAAGATGGCCGAATATCTAAAGTTGCTCTCACTAAGTCAGAGGCATTTTAACAACTCCGATTACGTCCCAAAAGGCTTACAATGACAACAACACATGCCACTGATGAAAACACGTGGAGAGTACAAGACGATTAACTCTCAGCTGTTTAAACTCTCGTAGATGTGACCTACCTTTCTAGCAACATTATCAGCATCAGAGGAGTCTCCTGCGGCTCCGAGTTTTCTTTTCATTCTTCTATTTCTTTCTTTATCTGCAAAAACACTGCAAATTTAACCCAAACTTCACTTAGTCACCCTTCCAAGGGGGGGAGCACTGATGTTGATCAGCGGTCTACAATCATCTTCGTGTACGTTACAATAAAGTGTAACCATCTACATCCAAAATGGCGACCACCGGGCCATCAAAGATATCAAGAAAGCAGCGGGAGATTTGTGTTAAAGAGGAGTTTAAAATTGCTGTTAAAATTGCCCTTGATCGATTTCGCTTTGAGGAAACACAAAAAGGTAGAGTCCTTTGTCTCTGGATTGTTGCAAAGTACCGTGTAATTATATGCTTTTCATGTCTTTTCTTTGTTAGCAAAAAACAACTTGAGTCCCTTGTTAGTGTCGGTTGCGATTGTTGTTGTACGTTTTAAAAGGGAAATAAGCTTTTACTTGAATTTTTTAATTTTAAATCAAGAAGAATTACTTTATTATAGTTGCATACTCTGTATGCTGCATTATAATTTGTCTGTGCGACAGACATTAATATTCATGATGAGGAAAGTCCCTGAGGAAAGTCTGACCCTTAGGCGTCTTTGGTCTTTGGACTAGAAATGTCCTACAGTATGTACGAGAGTAACATGGTGGGCATTATGACTAGTCGATGTAGATTGTATTACAGTAATAATCATAATTATTATAAATAATTATAAGGTAAGAAAAGGTGTGCACTTTTTTCGCTCTATTACAGTGCACTTGTCTACTCTCCCCACACAGCCCAAGTAAAAAAGACATACAGATTTTCTAGAAAGTAACCTCCCTGTATATTATTGTTATTTTTTTGCCTCAGTACTAGAGTTTCCATCATCATTCACATCCGTGGAGAGAGCCTATGTACACAGACTGTGTCAAAACCTGGGTCTTAAGTCAAAGAGCAAAGGGTAAGCTATTACATTATACTTTGGTGTAAAATTTGTAATTTTCTGTTCTGCTGGATTTCAAACTCAGTGCCAGATAAGGGTAAAATATAGTCACAATTATTCTCCTTTTGCATACTTATCTGAATTTTCATCAGAAAAATAATATTATAATGTTGATTCTGGATTTGTATGGAATTTGGTCTGCCAGAGTCCAGAGAACTCTATTAGAGAGCTGAGGGGTCTCTGTTGTAAGAAAAATCTGTTCTCATGATTATAAAAAACAGAATTTCCTTTGTCTCTTCTGAATAATGATAGTAATCATTAGGGCTAGAAAACATTGGAATTCTGAATCAAACTACAGTTGAAACCTCCATGTGCGACCACCTCTCATAAATGACCACTTCCTGTGAGCGACCCGACCATGTCTTGGGGCTGACGGTTTCATGATTTCCCATTGTTTTTAACCTCTTGTAAGCAATCAATATTGACACCTAATCTTCATCTCTATCATCTGTGTATATAAATTATAACAGGGGATCTCTTCCAAGAAGAGGTCAGGGCACTTCTACTTTAAAGGAGATAATTCATTGCATGTAAATTCTAAGGTGCGATATGTGTACTTGTGTAGTTCCATGTTGTCACTAAAAGTTCTTCTCATGACCACCTCCTGTATGCAACCGCTAACTCTTTGCATTTTGGGTGGTCGCTTACTCATAGAAGGTTCGACTGTTAGTTGAATACTGGTTTATCATGACAACAGATTTTACTGACAGCATCTCTTGGGAAACAATGGGTTGATGTTCTGATAATAAGCAAGTTAATGTTTTTTCCCCAGGAAAGGAAGCAGTAGATATCTTACTGTGGCAAAAAAGGATGTTACCACTGGAACTTGTAACAGCCTGTTGAAGCTCTCAAGCAATGCTATTCAACAAATTGAACATCTATCCAAAAAGTTCCCTTTAAACATCAAAGAAAAACAAGAATTACAACCGAAGACTGAAAGATCAACAGTTACATTTGATACAGGTTGGTAGCAAGATGCAGAGGTGATTATGTGGGAATGTCAGCCATCAGTTTTTGTTGTTTGTCTGTGTGACACAGTTGGTTAACCTGTTGGTTAAACTATAGCTGCACACTGCTGTGCTCTATTACTAGAGACAAAGCTTATTCCTGTCAAAATCTACTGGTCACACATGCGCAAAGCTGAAACATGAAGAGTCCCAGTATTGTAAAGCATCTACATCATGTTCAAATTTCAAATGTGAAAAGGAATGGTAATTACCTTTTTGCTAAGGAATCTGTTGAGACTGTACATCAAAAAAATCTACAAGATTCTGCGAGTACTTCATTTTAGCTTATCACACACCAATTATTTTCATCAACCTGTCTATGATGTGTCTTTCACTTAACACATTCCTTGGTAATGGCTATACATTATCCCTTTAAGTCCCAATAGTGACCAACAGCAATTTTCTCCTAACAATACTCATACATTATCAAGAGATGAGGTTACGAGAATTAATTAAATGATCAGCTAAGAGAAAATACTTTGATCTTTTATCAAATTCTCTCAACTCATTCTTTAAGGAAATGTATAGAGATCAGTTTGGAGAATTTGTATGTGGATATTGGGGCTTAAAGGGTTAATAATTTTTGTAGTAGTCATGTGTTAATACAATCACTGTCATGAATAATTTATTTTTCTTACAAGGTCGTAGCTCAAGGGAGAATAAAGTGGTTGGCAAACTCAATAACAACACTCCTGCTGTTCCACCTGTGGTTAAAGAGAATGAGCTGCTGTCATTCCGCAAGTCTCTACCAATTTATGAACTTCGAGAGCAGATCTTAAAACTCATATCAGATAATCAGGTAAGCTAATACTTATCCCAGTCTAGCCTTGTGCAGAGTACTCTAACATAATCATGTATATATTACAGGTCAAAATTAAATTCAGGTTGAAATTTTTTAACCTAGGTCGATTCTCAAATTCCTTTGTCTCTTAGGCCTAATTCATGAATAAATAGGCCTAAGAGACAAAGGAAATTGAGAATCAACCTAGGTGGATTTAATTTTGACCTGTAATGTATGAGTTTCAAAACCGAAGGGGGTACAGTTTATTCCTAGTGAATTTAATATTATGGGTGAAAAGAGTGGTCTTGTTTTAATGTTACTTCTTCTGTTTTACCAGCTTTAGTTAGTATATACATTGTTTAGTATTTAGTTATACACTGCAGCTGCAGAAGTGCCGGAAGTAGAGCCCAACATTCAACATGAGAAAAATGTACCACATTATTGTGGGTGCAAATGGTTAATGATCACTGTTGTCTCAATGATCACTGCGTGGCAAATTATATTGTGATAATTATTGAAACCATCTTTATTTGGCCTGGTGTCTCATTTTTGAGGGTGTTAGGTTGTCTCAGGGATGGGATTGTGACCATTTTAGGTTGCCCTGGGATTTGGAGTTTGAACATGCCCTGGTTAAAAATCACAGCTGCCAGGAGGTTGACCTATACCCAGTGGTCACAAACACCATTCATGTGTTCAAGTTGGGTCTTCTGTAAAGCGCTGCATCCATTAGTCAGAGGAGGATCTAGTTAAGACCATTCTATGCACATGTACCTGTAGTCTTCGTTAGTCAGTTTTGTTGTTGTTTCATTGAATCTGTTTTTCTTTGTTCAGGTTGTTTTAATATCTGGTGAGACAGGGTCTGGAAAGACAACTCAGGTGTGTGAACTGATCTAAAATCTGCATCTGGTGCACTTAATTTAGTCTGCAAAGGCAGATCTATTTCCGATCATCGCTTCTCTCCGCCTGGAAAAAAAAGAAAAGAAGCAATGCATTTGCATTATTGCATTGGCAGGCTTCACTTACTGTGGTTAAGTAGAATTCAACTTCATTAACTTGACAGAGAGAGAGCAGGAATGTACAGCTGTATGATCATTGCTTTTGTATTTTTTTGGTTAATGTCCTGGAGTGTGCTTGCAAAAGTCTTGAAGTGTTTTGAGCTCTGTGTTGCCGTTATTATGCTCCACAAACTGAGCCTTCAATGTTTGAAGCAGATGAGAGACTTACATGTAGTGTATTAATTTTTGCCATTTCTTGACTGGGATGTCATTATATATTCCAATTTTTCAATTATTAATAATTATTTATTACTAGCTACTTTGGTAAGAATTCGCAGTTGATTTGCCTTTTATCACTGACAGTAGGTAAAGCACAAGATTGTGAATCATCTAAACCCATGACACTGCAAGGTTCAATCCTTTAAACTGCTTTCAGATCAATTTAGTATAGGACTTGCTACTGATCTTTCCCTACATGTACATGTATTTCTATGGAGTAACCATTCCAATAAAACCCCTTTCTCATAGTGCTACTGTCAAGATTTCATAATTTGAAATAATGTCATTGTTTGTTCTCCTGGGAGTTAAAAGTTAACATTGTTTGTATCCACGATAGGTACCACAGTTCATACTAGAAGATGCCAGTGCTCGGTCAACACCTTGTAGAATAGTTTGTACTCAGCCTCGCAGGATCTCTGCTTTATCAGTCAGTGAAAGAGTTGCAACAGAAAGAGGAGAGAGACTTGGGCAGACTGTTGGCTACCAAATAAGACTTGATAACAGGTATATTTTGGTAGCCAAGTGTAATGAAAGTTTGGTTTATACTGTGACATAAAAGTGAGGCTTTGTGTACTTTAGTTTTAGCCTTTGCAAATTTGGTAGGAACGCCGCCATGCCTTTTATCTGATATTGACCTGCTGTGATTTTAAACTTTGGTTAATGGAGGTGTAACCCCTGAAGAATTACTTGAGTAACAATTTGTTTCTATTCTCAACACCAATTTTTGATCCCCAATGATATTATTAAAACAGAAGCAGGCTTTAATAATCTAGAGAAATATTCTTTAGTGTACTAGCAGATGACTCCCTATTTATTCAATTATCTGACAGTTTGCTGTAATACCTCTTGTTTTGATTGTTTTCACCTCTCTTTCGTGCAGAATATCTCCAAAAACATTGCTAACTTACTGTACAACTGGAGTCTTATTACGGACTCTGATGTCAGGTGATAACTCTCTCTCATTTGTCACACACGTCATTGTGGTAAGTGTTTCAAATAGTCCCTGACTGCTAAGAGTAGAAAAAAAACCTGGGAAAGGTGATGAAAAGTCAGGGAAAAGTAGAAAAAGTCTGGGTTGCTAGAGGATTTTTGAAGATTATTTTTATGAAGACTTTTTTTCACCCAGAAAAGATAAATATTCTTTAAGTTAATTGATTTTAATGTTAAGGGGTTCATTAATGTCCCGTTAAAGAAACTAAAGAAATGTAAAATTTAACTGGATTCAGGGGTCAGGGCATGTTGGTCAGGGGTTTGTTGTTGTTGTTTTTGTACGGCAACCCTGTGTCCATTCATTAACAGTGGAGTGCTCGCAAGTGCAAAGCACACACAGCAGAGCACCATACGTATTAAAGAAAATTTGGTTATCTATGCATCTGAGAGATTGGGGGTAATCACGTAACCATCCATCCATCTGCCATCCATCTGCACCACAGCTAGTCCTCAAAAGTCATATGGTCTTCCCATAGAGTTAAGTATTAATAATTTTGTAGATTTCTTTTGCAATGGTTCCAAGTTCATGATGTGAAGGAAATTATGTTTAAACGGGAGCTTTACTTTTAGCTCGAGCTAAATCAAGTTAAATCAATTAATAACTTTATCTCAACTTGCTTTTTTGTTGTCAGGATGAAATTCATGAGCGTGACCGATTTTCTGATTTTCTCCTGATTGCCATGAGGGATCTTCTGACTGTTAACAGAAGACTGAAATTGATATTGATGAGTGCTGCTTTGGATATCAACCTGTTTATTGAATACTTTGGAAAATGTCCTGTTGTTCATGGTAATGTTAGTAACTGCTTTGCAGAGTTTATAATATGTTAATTCTACCGTATGCTTAAACTCTCTTGGATACCTGATTGTCTGTCTACACAGCATGCAAAGAAACTAGTGTCCAGGTTTGGGGGGGTAGTGAAGTTTTTTTTGGGGGGGAGAATCCAAATTATTGATAAACTGTAATCAGTGCTCATCAAAATTTTTGGGGGGCTAGTTGAAATGACTTATTGGGCCATTCCCACAGGAAAAAATATCAGATTCCCATTTTTGGATATTTTAGGGTATTTAAAGAATACCCATAAAAATCCCAAATTTGGCAAAGTGAGAAAAGTCCCAACCAGGGAATTCCCAACCAAGTTCCCTGATTGGGACTTGTCTCACTCTTCCAAATTTGGGATTTTTGTGGGTATTCTTTAAATACCCTAAAATATCCAAAAATGGGAATCTGTTATTTTTTCCTGTGTCCATGCTTGCTACATTTCCCAAATGGGAAGCTGTTAAACAGACTTTCTTTGCATCTTTTCTACATGTGAACAATGCATATATGGAGCTCTTCTAACTAGGCTTCAGGTTTACAACTAATTCTCCAGTGCAAGTATACTCCAGCATGATTATAGATCAGTTTTGAACTGGTAAAATCCATACTCAGCTCCAAAGCTGAGGGGATTAAACAACAACAAAAAAAAGGGAATGTACAGTATATTGTCGTATTACTTCTTACTTTAAAGTAATGCTTGACTTCCAATCAGTATGGTGGCTTTGCTTATAGGAGGACAGTAGTGTTGGCAGCAGTATTATTATTATTATTATTATTATTATTATTAAATAGGCCCAAGTACCTTAGATAATTATATCATGCAGGTTCTTTGTTCACAGTTCCTGGTCGATGCTATGAAGTTAAAACATGCTTTCTGGAAGATGTGCTTAGAATGTAAGGGATGAACAATACATGTATTATTGAATGTGATAAGTTATTATGGTCATCATAAAGACATTCTGTTGACTCTGTTGAATTTTGTGTTATTCTCTGGTAAGTGTTAGTGCTGAACATTCACTGTATTTTCAGTTATGTTATCATTTCTTATGTTATAGGACATCTTATTGTAACAAAGAGATGGCAAAGCATATGAAAGAAATGACAAAGGGTAATGCATTAATTTTAATTAACAAAAATTAAAGGACTATTATTTTTATTAGCATGTACATTTTACCAATGTCTACACATGTTAAAATCTTCCTTGGGTGAAACATTTTCTAGTGTTCTTCTACAGAAAATAAACAACCCAGCTTATCTTTTCACAGTTCTCCAGTTTACCATTAATAGGCCTAGTATTAGCCTATGTAATTTCCACAGTTTTTCCCCTGCACATGTAGATAAATAATTTAGACCTTATCTCTTTCAATTCACTTCCTTGTTCTGAAGACCTCAATGTTTCATTAAGTGTGCCTTTTACTGCGCTTTTTTAGAAGCCAACTAATGTTTGCATTCTTAGCTGCTGTCAATCATTTTAGTGGACCTCTTAGGAAACAGAAGCTTGCTTCAAAAAGTTCAAAAGGTCATGGTTTGTGAGTTGTGATTGGTGAATTTTGATCCGTTTTGTGAGTTTCTGTGTTTCATGGTTCACTTGTTCAGATTGACAACATGCGAAAGATGCAATAAATAAAAATTATTGTAAGCTGGCTTTTAAAGTTCAGGGTTTGCGTGTGACTGAAAAGCATAGTAATGGGAAAATACGTTCTGGTCTCTGTGATCAATATGCCTTTAGTTTCATTAAGCATATCATTCTTTTCAGCACAAAATAAAAGTGGAACAGAGGATGCACATAAAGATGCAACTCCTTCTCCAAAGAAAGAGGTATCCACCCCGGACAAAAAAGCTGGGGAGACTGAAAATGGAGGCAATGTAATTCTAGAAAAGCTCAGTTCCCCCATTGTGGATAATTTGGAATCAGATCAGACATTTGAAGATGAATTGCAACCAACAGAAGGTACATAAGAGATTATTGTTGGGTACGTTTAATGTTGTGTTTGTAAATAACATGGCTTGTCCCTCCAGGATTGTTGTTAGTTGTAGCCCATAAAAAAGATTAATTTTATTGTTTTTTGTTCCTAGATCTTGAATTTGAAGATGAACCTGAATTCCCAATTGAGGTAGAAGAAATTGATCAGGATATTTTATTGGAGGGAGAGGAGGAATGTGACAATGATGCTAACGTTGAGGGAGATGATGAAGACATAGATGAGGAAGATGTAGTGGAAGACGAGGAAAAAACAGATGATGGAGAGGTCAAAGAACTTGAGGTCTGCTTGGAAATTATCAAATTAGATGATGCTGAGGATGATAATGTGCAAGCGGAGGCAAACAATGATAGTAACGATAAACAAGATGAGGTATGTATGTATGCTGAGCTATTATCTGGTAGATTGTATGGTATATTGCATGGAATCTAAAGCTGATGTTGTACCCATGGAGCCCATAATTGTTAAGGCTCTTTTTTAGATGAAGAAACCCTCATTAAATCTGAACACAAAAAAGAGGTTAAACTTGCTCATGTTGCCTTGTACTTGAATTGGTGTGACTTCTTACCTCCATAAGCATTATGTTTATACAAGGTTTTCCTAGTTCTGCATTTGCTTTAAACTATTCCTTTACTTAGGCCCTTATCCCGGCAGCCATGGATGACTTGTCTCACCATGTGGCACTGTCCTGGAGTAACTTTTGTACAATGACCCCATTTTCTCTCTGCTTTCTAATGTCCGTCTCCATGTTTCTTTGCCAGCAACGTGGTTTTAGAATGCCTTGTTGAGATAACTATGTACACCTAGTTGTTATTAAATAGAGCTCTCTTTTTAGGAAAGTGACAATGAAGAACAGTATTTAAGGGAAGAAATGGACAACAGCATTTCTGAGGCATGGCTAAATGTAAGTTTATGATATACATATCTAGCATATCTGTAAGTTTTTTTCTTGGCAGTCATGAGCACTATTGCTTGTTGGCAATTAAAGTTCTAATTCTCTGAAAGCATGTTGCTTTGTTGTTAGGGTGATGAAGAGTCATTTGTGCAGATTCTTTACTTGATTATGCATGAAAACATCAGTGGTAAGTAGAAAGAGATTATCTGTCAGTATTTCATTTCTTCTACATTTTGTACATCTAAGATCTTTGACAAATGAAATCATTCTACGTGAACAAGTTGTCAACTGCATGCAGTTTGAGTTCCTGATGGCCTAAGACAACTTACTTTACCTTTGGGTGATCAGGGATATCTTTATTTTTGCATAAAAATGAATTACTGGGTACATTGCATTTCATGGGTTCTGAGCACATCAGTAAATACCTCTCTACATATTTGTGATTTCTTAAAAAGTATTGACAAACTTTTTGTTGAATTGCTTAAAAGTTGACTATCAGCATTCTGAGACCCAGGCCACTGCTCTGATGGTAGCATCAGGGCGAGGCTGTTCTGGTGTTGTAGAGCAGCTGCTGAATTTGGGAGCCAATCCCCACATCAAGGAACCTAAAAACGGCTGGTAAGAAAAACGTTTTTGTTGTATAATTTGCTTTTGTGAGTTACACACTGTACATACACAATTAAGCAGATTGGGGCATGAAAACAATAATTGTTTTCATTATTCAAAGTTTGGCTAAAATGGTCAGGTTTGAGGAGGGTAGCTGTATTTTGAAGTAGCCATAGTCTTTTTTATAATAACATTACATTGTTTGTTCCGTTTAGGAGTTCAGTACGTGTATGTTTTAAGTTACACAGTCAAGCCTCCTCTATGGACACATTTGTAACAAAGACACCTCTCTACTATGAATGGTTAATTTGTTCCCGGAAATACTAACCTGCATTTATAACAGGTGTTAATTTTTGGCATTTTTCAGTTGAGTCAAGGCAAGCATGAAGCAAGCCAGAATGGCAGACACACGACAGGGAAAGGCGCAGAAAAAATATTATTATTATTATTAATTTATTTTTTCTGTGCCTTTCTCCATCATGTGTGTCTGGCACTCCTCACTGGCTCCAGGCTTGCCTTTACTCACCTGAAAAAAGGGGTGAAAATAATGCCCATTGTGCAGGCTAAGAAATACCAAATTTCATACACATCCTACCTCTGTAAAGTATAACACCTCTGTGAAGCGGACATAAAGCTCTGTCCCTTAGGTGGCAGTATGAAGGAGTTTTAGCAATATATGTTTGAAGATTTTTATTTGCATTTGCTGTAAAGCTGTTTCCTGTCATCTTTTTCTATATAGATGGCAAGGATAAACGTCTGTTGAGACTTGAACAAATTGGGTCAACTTTTTCGCATTATGATGCTATGCTTGCAAAATTTAAGTATTAGTGCTTCCTGATGAAATTTGTTTGATATATTCTTCAATAACTCTACAAAAGAATTTTTTTGTATGGGTTAAGGCACTACTAAGTATTGACTACAGCACAGAATTGGCCTTAAACAGTGATATCCTTGTGACATAGCCCCTTTAAGCACCATGCATTAAAGGGGTAATATTTGTCGTGTGACAATTAATGATGTAAGGATAGATATCTGAATACACATGTGCTTGCATGATCTTCCAACAGGACTGCAGTTGATTGGGCCAAGAAGTGGGAGCATGCCGAGGTTGTTGAACTCCTTGAATCATATATGTGAGTAGTTATTATGTATTCAGTTTGCACAGGACACAGGACCGGTTAACGTACAGTCTGAAACTTATATTTTAGGTCATCACCAAAAGTACCATATGTTGATGAAACAGCTCTGGAAATGGAATCAAATGAAATAAGTGAAGAAAGCAAGGAACTGCTGTCTATCTATCACAAGACATTTGATGATGATAGAGTAAGTATTAAAATATGTTGAGGAGTGATGCTTACGTGTTAAGCAAAATCATCTCTCAATATGTTAGTGTCATTTCTTCTGACATCAAACCTTTAATGTTTACCAGCAGAAAACAAGAATTGTTATCTATGAGGTCACCTTAGTTGAAGCTCGATTATCCTGCATGGTAGGCATTCGAAAGGGAAGGGGAAGGGAATTTTGATGCTAGAATATTCGTATATTCGAGGGAGAAGCTCTTCACCCTTCTTGTATTCCCAAAATCCCTTTCCTCTTCCCTTTCTAGCACCTACCATGCAGGCTAAAGCTCACAAAGCCTTCACACCTGGCTGCCTTGTGGTGCTGAGGGCAATCATACAATGGCCTAGCAGTTTTTAGTTTTGAATGAAGATGTGATTGTCGCAGTGGTAATTGCAATTAAACCCGACAAAAAATTTCGGGACTGCCACTTGTTTGGAGGGACGCAAAGTATAAAAATACTAGCAGTTTTTTTGGTGCTACTGATAGCAGGAGCCGATTACTTTTGGTTCTTACAAATGATTACTACTTATTTTCTTATATGCACTATTAGCATACAGTGTATCTGTGGGTTTGATCTTAGCTTAGAGCGTTGATAATAATTGTATCGACAAAGAAGCCTGTTATAAAACACAAGTATGGTCTTTCTAACATGCGCTTTTACAAGCATTTAAAATACTTTACCTGAAGTGCACTCTTGTATTTATTATCATTATCTGTTAAATCAAAAGGAAAATAGGGTCTGCTGTCTTGAAGTTAAAATAACGTTTGTTTTTTCATCTTTAAAATAATGTCTTGCATTGTGTAGACAGCTGATCCTTGCTTTCCTCTGTAGTTTCGTTATAATTCTTTTTTGCTACCGTTTCATCGTTCTTCTTAATCAATCTTGTTTTTTGTTTAGGTTGATCTTGACCTGATCATTAATTTACTGACGTACATATGTACCAATGAGAAGGAGGGTGAGTTTTTCATGTTATGAAGAAGTAGCCACATACAAATTCTCCAGACTGAAAGTTTGATAAACGGCCGAGGCATTTTGTGCTGCTTGGCTTTGTTATGCATTATGTAGATTAATTTCATCTGTCAATAATTTTTTCATTGAAAAGGTGCTGTTTTGGTGTTCCTTCCTGGCTATGATGAAATCATCACACTCAGGGATACTTTGATTGCTCACAAGGAATTTGGAAATTCCAAGAGGTACTGTTCTGTGAATTGTCAGGATTAACAAAATATATATCATGATTCAAGCTAGTCAATGGCCACTTTCCATTTAACTAAAACTTTCGGAAATTTTACTTGGCGGCAAATGGTACAGAGATTTCTCCGAAAAATTTCCAGAAATTCCGGAAACTGTTGAATTTCGAAATGCGAACCATTCAACCGCAATTCTAGAAATTCCGAGAGTAAAGTTGAATGGAAAGACAACTTCCGGGAAAAAAATTTCGAAAATTTCAGTGGGTAAACCTTGCTAGGTTGTCCTCTTTTTTGGAAATTTTTCTTGGAGGGGGGGAGCCTGAGGAAGCTTGCCCCCGATGTATGCTCGGTTGTATCGTGAAAGCCCTTATTCATTAAATGAAAGGACTGTATTTTTTTTATGCTGCAACCGAAAGCTGTTCATGGCTGGAACCTTACTAATTTGTCGAATGTTTGTCATCGTATGTTTTTTAGCATCGCACAGATTTGTCCCTGTTTTCTAGGCCGTATTCATGGCTAGACATTTATCATGATAAGACTAGGTAACTCATAGGACAACTGCATCTACTGGTCGAACTTTGAGACACTGTCTGACTATGAAAGTTCTTCTATGAAACACGTGATCATTATTCGGCCAGCTTGCACGAAAGCAAACAGTTACAGTAATTTAGTTACCCGCCCTAAGAAAGGCTCTGCCAATACTCTTGTCCTACCCCACGGTATTGGGACGATAAGTGAGGCTTATGTTATTTTGTGCGCATAACCCGAAGTCGCTATAACCTGCCACAGTGTAGCCTGCATAACAGATGCTTTATGAGCCAAGCGACGCGAACGCGGCATTTTGCGCGAAGCGCGAGACGAGGGAGGAGAAAAAATTGTTCTCCCCTACTCTCGCGCTTCGTGCAAAATGCCGCGCTCGCCTCGCTTGGCTTCTAAAGCGCTTGTTATGCAGGCTAGCCATAGGGCCGTGTTCCCTCCCCCCCTCTTATTACGCCATCTTGTAGTTGTTGTCTTATTTAGCCTGCGTGCATTTTTTAGTTGCGTGACTTTTTCATGCGTATCTTTTGCGGAAAAGTGACATTAAACTCCTATAGATACAGAGTTTTCAGAGTAATATCTTCTCGATCTGATGAGGTTTGATCCTCTTTCTTCGGTAGATACCAAATCTATACTTTACATTCTTCCATGCAGCCATCGGAGCAGAGAAAGGTAACATATCCTGAAAAGTAGCATGTAAAAACAAATGTTATATATTGAAGGTAGCATTTTTTGTAATGGTACAGCGTTTTTCTTCTTATTTTTTCTTCAGGTTTTCAGGAAACTACCTCAAACCATGAGAAAGATTGTAAGTCTTCAATTACAAATTCAAAAACCCGAGAATAATCCTTTGTTAACCATCCCCAAAAAAGTTATCTGTTGAAATCAAATAGCTGTTAATAGCGTTTTATTTAAAATCCCGAGCAGTAATTCATCAAGAACATACTGAAGGAATCTGATTTTTTTAGACTTTCCAAATCCTCAGAATTAATTTTAGATCATACAGACGTCCTATCTTTCAACTTATTAGTATGGTATTTAATGAAAACATTATAAGCACAAGAGTTATAGGTACATCTAACCAGGTTCAAATCTTGAATTGCTCTCATTCATGCATCACCTATACATTTTCAGTTATAGCAAATTGCTAATAGGCCTTTTTCCTACAGATTCTCTCTACTAACATTGCTGAGACCAGTATAACAATTGATGATGTTGTGTTTGTCATCGATAGTGGAAAAGTAAAAGAGGTGATTATTCTAAAAGGAAAAAGAAAACGTAGAAATAAGAAATTTGCGAGTTTTACAAAGACGTGTAAAATGTAAGATCAGTCGGCAGTTTGGTTGCCTGCCCATGCGTATACGTTTCTATGTAAAAATAGTGAAACTTAACTTGAAGAATGTGTCTAAATTTACAGGCTAAATTTATCATCGAAAGTGTGTACACTGGGTTCGCCTTTTAGTACACTGTATGAGAATGTCATGATACCTATGTTAAGTATATATTGGCAGTGGTTTGTATGATGTTTTGATTTTAGTCTTTTCATACTCATTGTAGTTGTTCGTGAAGAAAAACTAAAGAAAGCTAGTCACTTTCGTTACGGAGCTTTGGATATCAGATGTTCTTACCTCAAAGTCGGCTTTAATACCTTGATTGTGCCTCTCATGAGTTTTTTCTTCTTTTTGAAACTCAATTCCAGTGTTTGGATATCAGATGAACGCTGTTACTCTTGTTTCAAGTAATAAATCGATCACGACACGCAGTTTTTCTTCCGGTATCCAAACACTAAGTGGTGTAGGGTTAAAAAAACGAGATGCGGTCAAGTTTTTTTGCGAGCTGTTTGCTTATCGGAGGAATTACCGAGTGGAACGTTTAACATAGCTTCTCAAATGAATCATGATTCTTAAAGAAATTCAAAGCCATCACTCGCAAAATTGTAAGCAAAGCACCGTTTGTTTTTCCTCATGAATTACTCACATGTTTGAGAATTTTAAGACGTTTAAATAAACGTGTTGCTGAATAAACGTAAGAGTGAACAGCGTCGTCTTGAATTGTTTGAAGTACTATTAGTTTCATTATAAAGAAGTGACTACTTTATGATTGCTTCTTAGAAATCATTTGATGCCCTTACTTCAGTGTCCACACTTCACCCTGTGTGGGTGTCCAAAGCAAGTGCCATTCAGCGAAAAGGAAGGTGGGACGTTCGTGTCATTGTCAGTAGAGATGCTGTAGTAAAAGCAGCAAATTCGCGCAATATTGTTAGTGATCGATGTTGTTTGTTTTACCACCCGCGTAAGTAACTTGTTGCGCAATAATTTTCGTTGTTTCAGTGTTGTTGTTTATTCTAAGTTAGAACAAATCGCTCGACCTGGAACAAAGAAATTTGTTTCGTGACAGTGTGGTTCGCGCGAGTAATAAAATAGGAAACGTCTTTCTCACCTCATGGAGGAACAACGTTGCGTAAAAAATTGCACGAATTTGTTGTCCTTGACCTTAGCTTAAGATTTAAGTTTTTTTTTCTTTTTTTTGCAAGTAAAACACTCAAAAAAAGAAAAAAATTACACGGAATAAATAAATGAATAAAAAGAAAAAAAAATAGCGAATTTATACACTTACATGGCAATACTTACAAATATTAATAATAATATTTCTTAAGATTTAAGTTATTGCTTCTTAGACTACGTTCCCAGTACTAGCTGTAGTAAAGGGCGGTATCTAAGGGTAAAATTCTTAATTTATTTTAAGTCTTGTAGTCTAGTCTATTCCCAGGGCTCGCTTTTTTGGGGGGTCCAATTTATCAATTACCTAGGCTGGGCTGATTTGGACCTACGGGCTGAAATGGGTCCAAGCGTGGGCTTTCGATGGGGTTGTTTTGGCTCAAATTGCACTAAAATGGCTCCAAGAGAAGCTGAAACCGACATTGTCCTACAGGGCTAAACTGGAACTTTGGGGCTGAAACAGGTCTTTTCATTAAGGTGTAGTCTATTTAATTGTCCATGCTTATTCCCTCTCCAGTGAGGTGGTACGTTTTCTAGTGGATTAGATTTTCTGTTTTGTTTCAATTCTAGTCTAACATAGATTCTTTATTTATGCGCATATTTCTCTCTAATCGAATTTAATGCAACGGATGTATTGTACATATGTTTTCTAGTTTCAGCGTTGTAAGGTTTGTATTTAATTTAATTTTCTAGCCATTGTTCCAGGTCGGTTTTGTTTCTAGTCTCACTTGTAAACTGGTTAATTTCTTGTAGCATTTGTTAGTGCTATTCTTTGTTTAGGTTTCATGTCTACTTGTGTAACGCAGGAGAAAGAAAGGCTGTAGTCAAATTGCATTTTCATGTATTTACGACATGCAGTTATTTGTGGCGTTATGACCTGTTTTTTTTGTACATCATGCAATTTCTTGATTAATTGTTATTGATCCGTTGTAAACTCTATCGTTTACAGGGCTGGTAGATGCTCTCCTGGTATGTGCTTTCACTTATTTAGTCGAGTTCGCTATGAAAACTTGTTGGAATATCAGATCCCTGAGTTATTAAGAACTCCGTTGCAGGTAAACAGAATGCGGATGAATTGTCAACATTCGAGTTGAGTCTTTTCACCAAGTTTTGGCGAGCTTGCCAGTAATCTTCTCTTATAACATGACGCGCGTGCTTGCGCTATCTAATTCCTATTTAGTCATTATGAAAAAAAAAATGTTTACGCACGCTCGTGCATAAATAAGGTGACGTGTTCAGTTGTTCGAGTACGCACTCTAAGCATCAGCCGTTTCTTAACTTTCAAATGATATCGTTAGGGGTTACTCGGGACCGGTAGGCGAAAAGATATCAGAAAGTTCGACTTCTTTCGCAACTCGCTCTACTCTCCCCTCTAAAGGAGGGCTTACCCGCAGGCTACGTTTTAACTAAAGTTTGAGGTTGCCGCGACGTCTGTGTTATATGCTACTCAGTAACTTGAGCAAATGCTGTCTTTTAAAGCCTGTTTACGTGGAGGTGGGGGACCCCAGGTAGGTGAGGTAACCCGCTTTGGTGGGTAACCCGCCTGTCCATATAATCTCTCATTTTGATTTGATCTCGTTTACATGATAGGTGGGGTGACCCGCCACATGTTACCGCACCTCCATGTAAACAGGCCCTTAGTACGCATACAAACCTTTTAGGGAGGAAAGTTGCAAGCGAATGAAATGTCCTGGACCACTGAAAAACCGATTTATTGTTCCACTGAAATTCGTCTCATCATACTTTCTTTCTGAATCAGTAGGGCGTAATACTACAATCTACTGTATTTTACGCTCCCGATCGGATATTCAATCCGTTAAGGGTTTCTATTTCTCTGTACGGCAAAATAACCTCATCTTCTTTTCTCCCAGTTCTCACTCCAAATAATTATGTAGTATCTTGATTTATTAATGAACAACGGCAATTTGAAGTTCTTTTTAAAAGTTGATTTCAGAATTTACAGTATATTCTATTTTTTTGTTTCTTGTAGGAACTCTGTCTGCACACAAAGCTTTTAGCATCACCCAACACATCCATCGCTGATTTTCTCTCTAAAGCTCCTGAGGCTCCTCCATTTTTGGTTCTTAGAAATGCTGTTGCTCTGCTCAAGGTTTGTGAGCATATTTTTGGGAGCTTTGCTACTTGTTACTATTGTTCTATTAGCTTTTGTGTTAGTCTGGTTACTATGCCACACTTGGCAGCTCTAGAAGTGTGGAACTACATTAACAATAACAACAGTTTTCTGATAGGGTACAACTGCGACATTATCGTTACTGTGTCGGACTCTGAATAAGCAAACTTTATGTCGTCAACCGCAAACTCAAAACTCAGAACCGCCTTTATCGCACGTTAAGCAGTACAGTGGAACGCCGAACCATGTTAATGCGACCCCCGTTAGCACATAAAATCCTAACCATAATCACGAGTTAGTCGTATTAACGAGGCTTTGACACAGTGCTTTTACCTTTGGATCGTAAGAATGTAGTCGTATAAACGGAGTGGATGTAAGACGGAGTTCCACCGTACCACTGGATCTGCCTGCTAGTTTTCACTCGATCTCACTTGCACTTGAATTGATTAAAAAATTTAGACCACCTTTTACTGTACATAAAAACGCCTGGAAGGCACCTAATGATGTTTTTTTTTGCAACAATAGGATTCTTTATAGTTTTCTTATTCAGAAGCTTACAAGATACGGTATAATATTTTGTTTTAACCAACAGACGGTTGATGCTTTAGATCAGTGGGAGGATCTGACTGACCTAGGTAAATACTTTGTCATAGCTATAATCTGTATTGTATGATAGGTCTCTTGAAATCTTATTATCACTGCTTATTTGGAAAAGGACAAAGAAGAGAGCTGACAATCGTCATCATGATTCTCGAGACAATAAACCCTGCTTCGTTTTGTCTTTCCTGACTTTTGTAATTAGCTGCATTTGCGACATAAGTGGTCTGGTTGTTACTTACTTTCCTTTACCTCTATTTTTGCTCTTGTAGGTCGGCACCTTGCAGATTTACCTCTCAGTCCACAGCTAGGGAAGATGATCTTGTACGCTTTGGTTCTCAAATGTCTAGACCCCGTGGTGACTATAGCTTGTGCTTTGGCCTACAGGGATCCTTGTAAGGATTTTGTTATGTTTAGACTTTAAAGACTGAGCTGAGGTAGCTAGCTCATTCCTCGAGATAGTGTGAGTGTGCAGCGCGAAGAATATAGTAAAACAATGCGCTGCTCCCCACCATCTGTTCGCCTGAAACATGCTGAAGCTTGCCATTGCTGTCCATAGCTTGTTCACTAGTTTCCACAGAACCGTGTAAGAATGTTTTTTGTTTGTTTGTTTTGTTTTGTTTTTATGTCCTGATATACTGGAAGTGACCCAGTTGTGATGATAGCATGTGTTCTGACGTACATGTAGGGATACTTGCAAGAACATTGTTACTTAGTTGCCTAGTGGCAGACCTGGGCGAACCTATTGGCGACCATGATATGTTCTGAGAATCCAGTAAAGTTACAATGATCCTGGGCCAACTTGTTTGTAAACGAGCATGTAGGGATTTTTTATGGTTTATGCTGTGTTAACGTAGAGTGATTCTGCAGAAAAACCATCCTGATATTTTCTTCTTGATTTTTTCCGTTGCACAGTCATCTTACCCATGTACCCAGCGGAGAGGCGTGCAGCTGCAGTAGCCAGAAAGAGATTTATCTTGGATCAATTTAGTGATCACCTGGTCTTCGTTCAAGTATTTAGGGTAAACCAGTTAATAATTTAAATAGTTATTTCAGAAGAAGTTATCAATGAACTGCTTCATCATTTAACATTGGTAACATTGCTATCAAAAGCAATTCGTGAGTTCTATTTGCCAGGCAGAATGAAGCCCAAAAGAGCTGGCTTGCTTTCACGGTCTTCCCGTGATGGACGCTTGATGAATGTTTTTACTGGAGATTGATTGGTGAATTAGAATGTCTGTGCTTTTGAAAAACAGTCTTCTGTTAACTCTTTGGTGTGCTCCGTTTTTCAGGGCTGGCAGCGTGCTAGATCTGAAGGATATGATAAGAACTACTGCCGCAGAAATTATTTATCTCAGGCCACGATGGAAATGATGGCTGGCATGAGGTCAGACGCGTTTATTTAGTTAACGAATTTTCATGGAGTAGGAAAGGTCTTTAAGTCGTCATTTTCTGCTGTGTTTTGCTATTGGTCGGAGGGAAGATCTTTCACGTAACAAGTTAAATAGGTCATAAAACGCATTGGTTTTGTGTTCGGTAGAAAGAAAGACCTTTTGCGAACTTTATTGTCCTGTTTTGGATTCGTGAGGATGATCTCTATGACAAAGAAGAAACTCCTCTGTGTGACATGCTGTATTTTTTTACAGGTCCCAGATTCTTGGCCAGTTGAAAATTGCAGGTTTTATTCGTCCTCGTGGGGCGGGCGACATCAGAGACTTGAACTCAAACTCCAATAACTTGGCTGTTGTTAAGGTAGGAAGCCTTTCTGGAAAACTAATAAAGCACAACATTTATTTCTGAAAGTCAACAAAGTAAAATTCAGACTACGTGGCCAGCATCTATGCAAATGTATTGGAACAAAAGAAATCGTTTACATAAGGAAAGAGTTCAACTCCTAAAGTATGGCCGTCGTGACGTCAATTGAAAATGTTCTTTACCTGCCATAGGCAGGGTTGTAAGATGAATGAGTTGGACCTGGTATTTACACCTACTGTAAATCCTCTATTAAGCCCCCCGGGGGGACTTATTTTTTTCAAGCACGTTTGAAGGGGCGGGGGGGGGGGACTTAAAAGAGAGGGGGGCTTATTTAATATAGCGAAACGCATCACCAGTAGCAAAAATACCCTACTAGGAGACAGAGTAGACTTATGTATTGTACTAGTCACTGTCAACAGTATTTCATTCCCCTGTGGGAGCCTCCACAGAGAACTAAAGCGTAAAGTTGAAAAAGTTAAGTATATGAAATTGGAGGTCATGCGGCCGAAGACCAAAGACGATATGAACTTCCAGCCTCACGAATAAACCATAACTGATCAGTCCACGTAAATTGTTTGTGAAGAATAAGGATGGAGGGGAGGGGGGGGGGGGGGGCGTATTAACTTTCCTCCTCTGAAAACGGAGGACTTATTTGAGAGGGGGGGGCTTAATAGAGGATTTACGGTATCTATAAAAGGCAACAAGACGTATATAGTGAAATATCTGATAATATGTAGTGAAAGGCAACTTGATAATATTATATAGCTTAAGGCTCTTGAATTTATTTCAATCTTTTACTGCAGGCAGCCCTCTGTGCTGGGACATTTCCCCAAGTGGTCCGAGTAGACAGAAGCACCAACAAACTAACAACACAGTAGGGACCATTTATTTGACCTTTAACGTCAAGTCTTACATTTGAGAGATATGTCGTGATTTGAAATATAGTTGGTTCTGTGTGTTCAAATTTTATTTTCGTTTTTTTTGGGTTTGGTAGTATGAAGTTTAAAATAAAATTTTAGGTATAGGTTAGAATTAAGTTAAACAGATATTTTCTGGTTGACAACGAAAACATTATCGAGAAGAGCGATCGATACGTGGAAACGTGGAAGTGTATTAATTATCCAACTAATATTAAACTTTTTTCTTTCAGGAAAGAAAGCAAGGCTCGTTTTCATAACTCCTCCATTTTGTACCAGCCCCCTGCACATGGCGATACTATGTCAACTGCGCAGGCTAAAGCGATCGCTAAACTACCATCTGATTGGCTGATATATGAAGAAATGTCAAGGTAGGTTGAGCCTGTCTCTATAACCAACTCTACCTAACCACTTTCTGTGTAAGCTTTCTTTGGTGAGCAAGTGGGCCTTCGTGGTATTTGTCTTGATTTTTTCTACACTTTCCATACAAGGGAGTGGACGACATAATTGTTAGGAGACGGCTTATTCGACGTCCTTAATGCTGTGTAACGTTTCACTCACTAGTGTCGGCTATGCAAAGCTGACGTTAACTTACATGATGTTCAACTGGAAAGTAGAAAAATATGAAAATACCAGTTCCTAACATTATACAAAAATTCCATACTGGGTGAACAGAAGGTCAGTAGCAGCCGATAAAACTAAAACAGTTACTATATCCAACCCATGGATTTCATTATAATATTCGTGGTGTAAACAATTGCATTGTAAGGTATAAAATAATGAACTTTTCCCGCACTTCGCCCCAGTAAACACAAAATGAAATGAGGTCGCGTCTGGGTGAACGATAGGCCAATTCCGATTTTCCTATGGTTCAAAACGAGGCTAAGTGCAAATCCTTGCTAGTGAAAATAAGTTTTATTTACATGACCATAAAGAATCATTTTTTGTATCAATGGCTTTGCACTTAGTCTCGCTTGGAAACAGAGGCTACGGAAACTGTCTATTGTCGGCCTTGAGGATACATTTGTATTCTGTCTCTCCCGACAGACTTTACACCACAGTGACAGTGAAGTGCTGTAGCCTTGTGTCGCCCATAACAGTAGCTCTCTTCACTGGTCCCAGTCTTTCCTCTGAACACGTTACCCAGGATTTCTCAGCTTCTCGTGACAGTGAGAGGTATCCTGGGGATAGCCTGGGGCGAGATAGTGAGAGCAGTGATAGCGAAACAGAGGAAAAAGAAGGAGAGAGGAATGGGAGAAAAGGTGTTGTGTTCAAGTTGGATGACTGGATTGCGCTTTCTGCAAGCCAGGAGGTAATCTCCTTTAATTAAACAGCAGCAGTAGAGGTGATTACGGGTTAATGATAGTAGCAGTAAATTAATGATAATAATCTATCCACGAGACGTTGCTTGCTACACGTTTGCGAAAGAAATTCCATTTTTCTTGATTACCTAATCCATCGGCTAGGTCCATACGATTTATGTCTCATTATACGTTTCTGGGAATTTGCCAACCTACCCCTCCCCTAAGCCAATATTTTGCCCTAAGTTAGAGGTAAGTGTTAATATTGGCCTAGGGGAGGGGTCGCCGGTAGACAGATTCCCGGAAACGTATAATGATCCACAGAAATTGTTCATTAGTAGGCTTAGCTACTTAATTCCGGAATTTTGGGGGGAATTTTAGACATCAAAAGTAATTTTATAAAGTCTCGGGAATTTTACAAAAAAAAATTGACAAATTCGAGAATTTTAGAGCAATTTGAACATTCACCCGACATTTTGGCAACATTTCAAGGACAAAAACGTTGACAAAACCTTTGTTTTTTGTATTCCTACCGACCAGGAGAGGGTTCAGTCCGCTACCATGCTACAGCAGTTTCTAGAACACTATAGGACATTCGTTTGAAAAGGAAGATAAATACATATATAACAAATGTGAAATGATGTGTCTTGGAACTTTTAAACATTGGTAACAAACGATGTTTTACGATTAAAACTCTTTCTTTTTTGTTACATCACCATAAAAAAAAAAAACGAAATTATTTGAGAATTTTCGGGAATTTAGAGAGTTTTGAAGAATTTCAGACATTTTCTAAAAAGAATTTTAGAGCTGTCATCTTGGTACTTTCGTTTGTCTCGTCTACAGAATGTCGTGTAACTTCTTAGTCGTTTTCAATCATTAAATAGAAGGTACACTACAGTGATCTTGTTTTATAAGATCAAGGGCAATTTTTTTCTTCACTGTAGGATGTGAACAATGTGACTTATTTACGACACAAGTTGCAGGCATTTTTCGTCAGGAGGATTCGCTCTCCTTCCAGACCCTGGTCTCAAGTGGATGAGGTAAAACACAAATTAATCCTGTTGTGTAGTTGTAATTAAAATTAACGTCATTCGGGAACAATATATTAAACGCCCCTTAACGCTGGAGTCTAGTCCAGTTTCTGTGATAAAAACTGTGATTGACTAATGGGAAAACGTTTCTTATAAACAGAGCGCATTGCTTATCAAATAAACACCTCTGTAGTAACTTCCGAGAAAAGGCATAATGATATCTATATCCTTGTTTTCTCATAATCTGCATTGGCGGATTTTTCTTTGTTTTCTTTACAAAGATGATTGTTCGAGCAATAACAGCAGTCTTGACGTCAGAGGAGCAAATCATGAATCCATCCTTGTATCCTCGCCAAAGAAGAACACGACCCGGTAATGTATTTTACTGTGACTATCAAGGTGTGCGATTGTCTTGTTTAGATAGTGAACACTTCAACCAGTGTTCACAGTACTTGCTATTTGTTAGTTGCATCTCAATGATAGAAAGAGCCCACATCAGGAGAAAAACGCGACACGCTCGTTTTGACCAGATCCGTTATGGATTCGCTTAGACCGAGGTTTCTTTTCAGTGGCCAATAATTACTTACATTAAGTCATTCACATCTGAATATCTGGAGTGTTTGACCTCTCCACCAATGTTCCTTGACGCATTGTTGTATTCGCTGCCTCATTATTCTTGGTATGTTGTTGTGTATTTACTGATTGTATTTTTATCGTGATGGTATATTTCCAGGAATTGAAAGTGGGCCTGACTCCAGATCTAGAATCGACAGGTGTGTAAGAGTGTGTTGTACCTATCGTGACTCCCCCTACCAACAAAATACTTTTTACAACTTTTGGAACAATTAAGCATTTGCTCCTGTGACAATCACATGTTGAAGTCAAATAATATGTGATAAATTTTCACGGTGTCTTTTCGTTTGTCTCGTTGAAGATACATATTTACTGTTACATTTGCAGGACACGGCGACCAGAGCAGTTTTCTCCATCGAGGGAACGCCTGCGTGATAACTCTGGTAAAAATAACTTCCTCTATGCAACTGTATGCCTAGTTTATTCTGCCACAAGTGCTTTCACCCCACAGCATTAATTGAAAGCTTATTAGACTCTCTATCATTTTTTCTGAAGTTAAAATAACAATTTAACACATGCTTGTAGTTAACAAACAGTTCTTGTGTTTATCAGGTTCAAGTCCGCGGGGGAAAAGTGAAAGACCAGTCTCTCCACAAGTGAGTTTTTTCTTGTGTACCATGCAGACTGAAATAAGTTATTGTGAAACGTGAGTAGAAGAACGTGTCTTGAATGCCCACAGCGCCCTCGCTGCAAATATGGAGTATTACATGCTAATGATCAGTCCAGCTTGGCATATCTGCGTTATGTTCATTATTATGAAAAATGCCACCGATCCAACCTGATGGTGATCAGTGAGGGCTTTCCTCAAAGCACACTAAGCAAAGCCTTATGACAGTATTGATTTGTTTTTACAGAATGGTAAAACATTCAGTGATGGATGGATGTCAAGGCCGGCGCAGTTGTCTGATAAGCTAAGTGAGAGTTAGTGTTGGTATTTCTTAGTAGCAATTTGGCTTCCATTTGACTGTCTGAAAAGAAATTGTATATTGAGATACATGACGGTCTTTGCGATTATGTCAAAGTTACGTGTATCACATCCTTGGTTTTCGTTTCAGCTCGTTACTTTATTATGAAATGCAACAATCAAAGAAATTTAGACATATCAATGGCAAAGGTAAGTACTCTTTTTTTTCTCATTCCGTTTTCAAACAGTTCCCAAAGGATTACATACTAATTTTTCCGTTATCTGTCTTCATCTTTACCTCTTTAATTTATTACCACTGTCAGGTGAAGTGACATTCTTACGACGTTATTTTCTTTTTATTGTTGAAGGGCATCTGGGCAACAACCCTGGCAAATGAAAAGAAACTAAACAGAGCTTTTAAGGTAAGTTCTCTGGCCAGTTTATCCGAGACTTTTAAGACGATATATTGTTATATTTTAAATACCAAGTCTCTGAAATCGAACAAACTACTTAATGTTGTATGGGTTTTCGAGGTTTTACATGTCACCGTGCGACTACGCCTGGAAAAACGATTTCAAGAGTGGATTCTAATCAGTTTTGTCTTACAACAGGTTTACTCAAACATTACAATTATTGTATTACTTTTGAAAGAAGTAGTTCAAAATTCTTGCTCGATGTTCTGTTTGTGTTGGAAAAACGACGCTATCTAGGATTGTTTGTAGTAAAGACGGACGCTGTTAATAACGCCATCTTTGACGTTAACATTTGCCCTTGAATGTTGTTATAGGAAAGCAAACGAGTAATTCTGGTGTTCTCTGTGCAAGGAAGTGGACATTTTCAAGGTGACGGTTTAGTTGAAGTGATTTTCTCTATCTCTATCTATATCTCTATCTGTCTTGCATTAATGATTGCCTGCACCAAAAGACAAACTCTTTGAAATCACCTCGCGTGTTGCTCGTCTTACAGGTTATGCACAGATGACATCCGCTATTGGCAAGGACAAGTCACCCGAGTTTGGCTCCAGCTCCCTGAGTGGAGTTTTTAGTGTTGAATGGATAAAAAAGTATGTGCTACATGTTTTCTATCTCTATCACCCAGTCTGTTGAATAACTAATACCATGTCGATAAAACTTAAGGCACCATCCCCTTACATTACCGTTTGAGTAGACGGAACTCCCTCGGAAAGGGTGTACCAGAAATCTGCAGGTTCTGCCTAATACAGGGAGTGTAGCTATGATTAAAAGGCAAACAATAATTCGTTTCTTTTTCCTGGGTCCTTAGAGCAAGTATTCCCTTCCAACAAGCTCATCATCTGGTAAACCCGTGGAATGACCATAAGAAGGTTCAGATCAGTCGTGATGGACAGGTAAGACTTACCTCATGGCCTCTCTGTGTTAAACACTGTTTATTTCTTTTGACGTGTATGTATAGATCCATGGAATTGAGAAAGGATGAGATGTAAAGGGTATAGTATGGTGTAGAAGTAGTGGGTGTGAATATGTGACGAAGCACAAGGAAGAATTGTCATCGCATAGGTAGAACAGAAAGGATTCAAATGGTTCAGTATGGTGCAAAGGCGAAAGAGGGATAATTAGAAGGTGTGTGAAAGGGAGGAGTACAGATGTAACAAGTGTACAGCTGAGCTTTAATTTCATTATCACTGTATTGGTAGCACAGGGTGAATAAAAAGGATCAGTTGTGATGTATAGGTGGAAGATGAAAGGAGTAATGTGTGAGAGGAAGGAGAACAGATGCCAAGTAACGCGAGCAGCTGAGTGTAAGTTTGATTATCACCAAATGGGTTAAATAGGACGATTAACAAAAGGTCACGGTATGAAGAACGGGTGGGTGTCAAAGTGGGTGTTATTGTGAAGACGGAGCTTGATTTATGAGGAAGTGCTATGACCATAAACACTGTTGATGGGACAGCAGGGCTTACATCTGGATCACGGGGATGTAAGGGTGGCAATTAGGGTGACAAAATATGTGTAGTCGACTCACAGATGTTGGAAAAATGGGAAATGCCAGGATGAAGCATACTTGTGGAAGGGCGCCGATGTGGCTCAGTGATGAAGACACTGAGATAGGAGAATCGGATATTAAGGTGATTAGTAAGTATGCTGCAAGTAGTGGCATGAATTAGGGAGAACGTGGAAGATGGAGGCATGGATGACTCAGAAATGGTGAAAAGTAAGGGATGTTGTAATGTATGTTGTAGTAATTGAAACGAATTGTTCTTTAAATTCGAGGTAGGATTCTGCTAGTAACAAAAACCGTCTTTTTGGTTCTCAGGAGTTGGAGCCCAAAGTTGGCGAGGAACTTTGCAAGCTGTGGGATGTTGATCAGGCCAGTCCAAGTGGACGCACTCCCAGGTCAACCAACAACACCAACAGACGTGGCAAGCCATCTGTACAAACACAGCCAGATCCCCACCCCTCCCCCAGTCACTGGCAAGCCACACAAGCAAACGTTGGCTACCCCGCTATACAACAAGTGTACACTACACACACCCCCTCCCTTCCTATTCCTGTGCCTATTCCATCTGCGCGACACGCGATCCCTGCCCATTATCCGCGCCAAGTTGTTGCAGCCCAACCCATGACTGTACACACTCACGCCGCTGTTCCCTTTGGAGCTCACGCTGTTGCGTTGCAGTCTCAGTTTCGTTCCGCGGCTCCTCGATATCCAGGAACCATCGTGCAGCCACCAAACATGAGGACGATGGGGCCGCCACCACGCAGCACAAGAGCGCCATATAATGCTTCTCGAAAATAATACAGTTATTTAGTAATATGATCTTACAGAAACCTGGTAACAACAAATACTATATAATGAAAGCTCACCATCAACCATTGGTTACACTAAGAAACTCTGGGTGTAGCCAGTAACTGACACATGCGCACAACCCTATCACCAAACCAGTATCTAGAGAGAGAGGCTTTGCTTTGTGTTTGTGGTCGGGTGATTCATAAGGTAACCTTCCTAACTACCCAATCCAAAAACGATCACTTTTGCACTGGCTTGACAGCGGCATGTTTACGGGATTTGATTCCGTGTGGGAAGGAAAATGGGAGATAGGTGTTTTTTTGTTTATTGCCAGCAATCTGTCTAGAGTTGGAAAAAAACGTTACCTATAAAAAAGTAAGGTTCACGGACAATTTAAGACAATACAACGCAGCCGAAAAGAATACAACTTGCTCGCGTTCGATGGATACAGAAAAGTAGGCATATTTTCTCGTTAAGTGTTTTGATTAAGAAATAACAAAAACGTTACATTTTTAAGAAGCTTGATATACTTATTAGATTAACCATAACAGTACCACAATACAGCTGTTTTTAATTAATCTTACGTGAGAAAATAGAGAACTAGAAGCCAAAAGTGAATCTGGGGTTGGTGTAAAATACACGTGCTAGAAACTTCTTAATATCAACGCAAACAGGAACTTTTCATGTAGAAAAGTGATTTATCGGACTATTCATCCCTATATAGCAATATACTATGAAGATCTATAAAGATAAATACTGCCCGCACTGATATAGCAAAGGCTATTCGAAGTGGGTAATGCAGTAACCCAAAAGTACAACTTAGTTAAACTTTATTTCTAACTTTCGTTTTTTAATATCTCAGTATAGCGGATTGATAATCTGATTAAAGCCCGCCGGTTAATTTTACCTAGATCCTATACGATAAAACTGTTTTCTTCAAAAATGAAAAGTTTTACATGAGCACCGCTGTTTTACGACGCAAACCCATTTGCGGCGGCTTTTCGGTAAACATCTTAACCACCGAAGCTATTTTCACTAAGTATATTCTCAGTTCGCTTTAACACTGTCCCTCTTTAAAGGTACGTAACACAGGGCTGCATTGTTGGCAACGTTTCCTAAATTTTTCCAGTCACCGAGATAAACAGGATAATTCTCTCCTGAAGGGATTCTAATGCCACTGTCAATTGGAAAATTATTGATGATGAAATAAACCCTCCCCTCTATTTCCACTGCACCAAGCGTGTTTTGGGGAATATGGTTTTGGTCAACTACAGACCACTTGTTGTTGTCTTCATCGTAAACTTCTACAGCTGCTGGGTTACCACAGGGCCTGTAAGATGAGTCAATAGAATTATAACCCCCTGCCACACAGAGTTTACCATTCGCTACAAAAAGACTGGATCCAAAGTGAGGGTGGCAGGTTGAAGCTTTTTCTAGCCACCCATTGCTCACCGGGTCAAAACAATGAAGCACTGCATTTTGCATCTGCCAGTAGTGTAGCGACTGGTTGTAATTTGTATGTCCGTAAAGTACATAAACTTTTGAAAGAAGGGCCGTTGCCCCACTGTAAAAATAATTGTTGGGATAACTACTCGAAACATTTACTTTTGCAAAACTTTGCCACCGGCGTTTTGGAAAGCTATACCTTTGAGTTACCTCGTTGCAGTCTGAACTGATTGCATACATGTAGTCAACTACAGTGCAAAGGCTTTTGACTACTCGACATGTTGGATCCTCGTGCTTTTGCCACTTATCTGTTTCTATATCGTAGCAATAAATACAGGAATCACCAGCAACAAAGAGTTCCCCACCAACAGTCTCTGTACAGTAGCAATTTCCTGCATGAGCTGCTGGTGCTAAGGATGATAGTTGCTTCCACTGTCTCTCCTCCATATCAAAGTACATCATATGAGTCTGAGGGAGAATAGCAACAAGGACCTAAAATAACAAGAAAAATTGGGAAAATGTTCAGTTTTTTTAATGTAGAAGGAAGATCTTCTGAATGAGATTAACAAAGAACGACAATACTGAAATTAAATGAAAGGCAACTAACTAGAGAGTCTTTCACAGCTGTTGCTTCTCAGCACGTTAAACACATAACCGAGATCGCTAGCTGGTGCGTGCAGTGGACTCTTGTTTTGTCCCATAACAGATAATCAGTTTGGCTATCGTTCCCAGATCGAAGACCCGATTCTTGCACCCGAGCTCATTCAAGTTCCTTGAAGTGCTAAGCTGGCGGTATCTTTCAAAAATCTACCCAAGTCTCATCACTTTTTTGAATTTCAGTCCAAATAGTGTGAGCCCTTTGGGGGGGGGGGGGGGGTTTTTTTTAGCTTGCTTTGTTTGTTTTCCATGAAAAAGTTTCATCTCCTTTTGATCGTGGGGAATTAGGGGTGGGGTTTTTTTTAGTTTTCTTTAAAGTTTTCCATACAGTCAATCTTTCCTTCTTATTTACAAAATTTAAACACTATGNAAACTTGAACACTATGGTATACGTGGCTTGGCTCTGAAATGGATTAAGAGCTATTTTTCCAACAGACTTCAATTTGTAGAATACAATGGTTATGTTTCGTCTTGTGCTGATATCATGTGTGGCGTTCCCCAAGGTTCAATACTAGGGTTTTTGTTTTTCCTGCTCTACATCAACGATATAATCAACACGTCAACAACATTACAACTGATATTATTTGCCGATGATACAAACGTTTTTGTGTCTCACAAGGATAAAGACTGCCTGACTAATATACTGAACGCTGAGCTAAATAAGTTGTCAATATGGTTTAGAGCTAACAGGCTTTCATTAAACTTGAAAAAAACCAAATTCATTGCATTTAAACCATGCCAAAAGCGTACAAATCAAACTATTCAACTTTTAATTAATTGCCAAAAAATTGATCAAGTAAAAGAAACAGTTTTCTTGGGAGTAATCATGGATGAAAATTTAAATTGGAAATCTGAAATCTTACATGTCGCCAATAACGTTTCTAAATGTACAGGAATTATTCGTAAATCCAGTTTCTATTTATCTACGAAAACCTTACGAACACTATATTTTTCTCTAGTCTATCCATACTTTTTTTACTGCAACTTAGTTTGGGCCTCCACTTACAGAACTAACCTTATTCGTCTTGAGATTTTACAGAAACGGGTGATCAGAACTATAGCTAAAACCACTTTCGATGCACATACTGATCCAATCTTTCAAAATCTAGGTATCTTAAAATTTCATGATATATACTTAACACAACTAGGCTTATTTATGTACTCCTTTCAAAACCATACTCTACCTTTAAAATTTCATTGTAAATTTACTTTACAAAGTCAAATTCATTCGTATAATACAAGACACTCCTGTAAATTTCGTCTGCCTTTCTGTCGTACTCGAACAAAACAATTTTCCGTTTTTTATCAAGGACCTAAATTTTACAACACCTTAAACACCAACATCAGCAACGCTTCCTCACCTTTTTCCTTTAAAAGAGCACTTAAGGCATTTATTTGTAATAATTATTAGTATACTCCAACAGAAATCTTGCGAAAAAGCCTTTTAATATTCAACATTATTTGTAAACTTCCGTAATATTGATTAGTTTAATTTTCCACCTGATATTATTTTGTATCCGTCGCCGTAATTTTTATGCCATCTTCGAAAAATTGTAATTGAGGAGGCCTAATTAACATAAGCTCTATAGTTTCCTTTAAGCCTCCTCGCCATTTCTATCTACATTTTTTTGGCATTTCTTTGTAATTATTGTAATCGTGTGGTAAATAAATAAATACAATACAATACAACTTTAGAAACTAAAGTTGGAATTAAGAGAAGGTCAGCAGTGCTAGAGGATGAAAAGGGTAAGGCCACCACTGAGGGCGAAACCCTCTAAGACACAAATGGCATATATACTTACTGGACCCGTTGATCGTAGTTTTGCTTTTTCTTTAGCAAAGTTGGAACTGTTTGAAGGCTTGACGTAATGTAAAAGCGATTCATAGAGAAGCATATGAATCTCTGGTGCTTGTTGCATCTCATCCGTTTCGAGTTCTTCAGTCAAATCCTTGATGTCCACCAACCCTAGACGAACCGCTCCGATGACTTTGGCCGCGGTTGGCATTCGCTCTTCCTTCTTGTGTTTGATCCACTGCATCACGGATTTGAAGACGAATGTCTCTGAAGGAGCACTGAGGTCGTCTCGACAAAGAAGGCGAGTGTACTGATCAGCATCCACATGGGACAAGAATTCTTCACTTTCACAGATCTCTTTGTAAACGTAGGCCATCTTAGTTTGCGTGGCTTCTTCAAGGTCAGTTAGACCATGACGATCAGCAATCGCGGAGAGGCGACAATATGTTTGCACGTCAAATCGAAGCTGATCAACAAACTGGGTTTGCAAGTACTCACAACACTGTTGGACAACACTTGTAACTTGGAGGTGATCCGCTGCGACAAGGACGTCAAAGACAGTTTCATCGTTGACAAGAAGGTCTCCGCTGTAGATGGAATCCAATACAATCTTCAAAGCAGCTGCTGAAATGCTTTCATCTTTGAGCTCGATCACTTCCTGGTTCGACTCTTTCATTCCATGAGCAAACATGGCGTGAAAATAATCGCTGCTGGCAGCGAGCACAATGCGATGAGCTGAGAATATCTCTCCTCCCACTCTTAAACCCACGTCGATGAATTCACCTTGCTCTCGAAAGTGAGCGCACTTTGACAAAAGAATCTCAGAATGGGAAACCATTCTGAAATCAACTAAGTATCACTGTTTTACGCTAAGCAAGCCGAAGATCGCGTGACCTTATATGAATCATGGAGATATCACGTGAGTTATGAAGAGTCACGAAAGTCCTGAATGAGAGTCGTACAACCGTGATGAAAATTTGCCAAGTCGGAAACATGGCAGTTTTCGTCTCGCCTACAAAAAGAATTATGCAGGCGAACACACGGCCTCAGACATCGGTGCTGGCCTCAGACTATTTTCGTCTTGGGTGACAGTTGACACGCCATACCAATTTTTTACAATATAGTGGACGCTTTTTTACGGTGGCCCACAAGGGACAACGCTTCTACTTGAAAATGTAGTGTCGTTCTGTAAAAATACAACTGTTATTTTTAGAATTGAACATCTTTCCTTAGAATTCTGCAATCGTTCCTTGTAAATCTGCGATCGT